CCCCACCATGGGAGCCCCCAAGATGGTGGATGAAAAAGCTTTCTTTGATGTAAGTGACCTTTGAGCCGGACGGAGGAAAGCCCAGTTGGGGAAAGGTGAAAAGTGGCTGGTGTGGGGTGCGAGTTTCCTCCCGCTTGGTGCCCCCCCCTCGCCCGTTCTTAGGACCACACTTCTCCTTCTTGGCAGGTCAAGACAATAAAGCGGGTTTACAATTTCTGCGCCCAGGATGTGCAGCTGGCCCAGCAGTGGATCGATCGCATCCAGAGCTGCTTGTCTGATGCCTGAGGTGCCGTCTGGGCCTCAGTGCCCCGCTTGGCCTGGCACAGCGCTGCACAGGACGGAAGGAGGTGGGGTGTGTTGCCCAGGAGGGAGACCCCAGCCTGGCTTGGGCACGTGCAGTTTGCGGGGAAGGGCACGGCTGGCCTCTTCCGTCTTGCAAAGAGGCCAGTCCGTCACACGTCCGGCCTGACGGATCCTCAGGAGGAACTTGCTCATCCTCCGTCCTTCCCTGGAGGTTGGCAGAGCCATCGGACTTCCATGCCCCGGCTGCCTCCGGCACAAGTCTGGCCGGCCGAGGAAATGGGCTCTGCTCTGTCGGGGAAGCTGGCCCAGGGTCTGGCTGCGGGCAGAGGTGGAAACAGATTGATGCAAAGCGTGATAGCAACCCACCTCCCCCCCACACGCCTGGGGGCTGGAAGTCCTGATGTTGGGAGGTTGGAAGACAGAATTAAGGGGGGTTGCTGTACTCTGCCCCTTAATGCTGCTGCTGATGGACAGAATGGACAGTTCCTGGTCAAAGGCTCAGTCAGGTGGCAGGGAGACGTTTGTGACCCCCCCCCACCGGTTCTTGGTCACTTTCCCCTCCCCCCCCAGCATCCTCAGGGCTAGCCCTGGGGTGCAGGGCAGCTAATGGCCTCCCCCCCATGTGCTAGCCTAGCATCCGAGAGCAAATCATGTAACTTGGTCTTTCTGCTACTGCATCACCATCACATGTACACACACACACACACACACACACACACACACACAGCACACAGAGCACACACAGGATCCCAGATTGCAGCCCTCTTCATTCCCTTCTCCTTTTGAACAGTAGAAGGAGATGGGTGAAACCCTAGACCTTGTCCGTAGTTTGGACCTCCCCCCTCCTATTTTTTATTGGTACCATAAAGGCCATGGCTGGTGTGAATTTGGGGGGTTTTGTAACTTCTTGAACAGTTGTAGATTATTGAAGTTTCTGTACATTGTGTCAGACCTAAAGAGTTCTTGTATTGTATTGTGCTTAGAGGAAAAATATATATGAAGAGAAGAAAACTAATGGAATTTAATAATAAAAAAAAAAACATCACGGGTTTGGCTAGATGTGACTCTGTGCCTGAGGTGTTCCTGCAGCCTTCCTGCCACAGATCAGTTTGGTCTGGATGCTCTTTTAAGGTCCAGTTCCAAGGTGATGTACTTTGATTTGGGGGGGGGGCTTTTCCTTTGGGGAGGCGGCATCCAGAACCAGGCAGCAGAACAGTTTTAAATAATCACAAGGTGGCTACTTCTTCCAGGCCAAGTCCTACACACTAAAGGAGGATTTTGTTCAACATGCACATAAGTTGATGTGATTTCATTTTGGCATCGTTTTATTTAAAGAATGAAGCTAGAAAATGAAGTATTTAAAAAGAAATAATTTGATAATGTATTTGTTTTCTTCTGCTGCATTAAAAATATATATTCATACGTTTCCTGGATTTGCAATCTACATTGAATAGCAATCATCGTATGAGGCAGACAATTTGCAGACAGCAAGACTTGTGCGATGGCGCCTGTGGCCTTGGGTGGTCCAGTCTGGGACTGCTAAGCCAGCCACAGGTCTTCCTTCACACACTCCCCCTTGGCTGTGTCTCCGCCAGCATGAAGCTGGTTGAGCATCAGTTTGCTGGTGATGCCCACCTGTGCATCTCAGTGCCTGCCTCACCCGGGAATGCTGTCCATCCGCTGTCTCAGGGGGCCTGGAGGCTGTTTTAGGGCCCGGCTCCAGAGGATCAGCCCAACCCTAACAAGATCGAGTAGCTTCGGGTTCGGAGAGCTGTGCCCAGAAATAAGCCACCTTTAGTTCTCAATGGGGTTTTGCTTCCCCAAAGGAAACCGGTCTACCATTTGGGTGGTCTTTCTGGGCTCTTGCTAAAAGATCAAATGGCAATGGCAACTGTGGCAGATTCATCTCCGCATCCTAGTTGCCCTTTTTCCTGGATTGGCAGACTGGCCATCCATGCTTTCACCACCTCTTGTTTGATTGTTCTGATATGCTCTGACTTTCAACACCATCTGATGCTAGTTCTTCTGTTCCAGACTTCAGGTGAGCGTTAATGGGCACATCTTGAAACACTCATGTGGGCCTGTTTGGTGGGCTGCTCTGCCTACCAGTGCAGCTGGATCCAGGTGTAACCCAAGGTGATGCTTGTTACCTAAATAGCTTGGGGCGTTATATCTATGGGCTTGTCTTTCCCTCCAATTGCCCCTTCCTATAACAGCAGACACCTAACGTGGGTCCCAGTCTCAACTTCCCTGCCTGTCAGCTCCCTGCCCACAATCCCAACGTGCTAATAACTTGGTTTTCAAATGAACTAACCAGAAACCAGTTTGTTGTTCAAGGATGACTGGAACTTATCTGTATTTCTCCAGTACAATTAGCTGTGTATTTGGTTTACTATTTGCATTTTTCATGCTGTTTCAATTCTATGTGCCACCTTGAATTGTTGATTAGGCAGCCTTATGAATCAAATAAATGAGACTCCTCTCCTGCAACACTGGTGGTAAGCTAGAAGCCAAACTGCATTTAGCAGAGCAGATGGAAACATTAGTGACCACAAAGGTTTCTATAGGAAGGGGCTTAACTTCCTGACCACAAAGCATATGAAGAATATTCAAATGCACACATGCATGTGTGTGTGTGTGTGTGTATGTGTGTGTGTGTATATATATATATATATATATACACACACACACACCCCAAAAGTAATAGATTACTCCATGGAGGAAAAAGCAGCAGCAGCTGTTACTAACCAGAGATTGCATGCTGTTGCAGGGCAGGTACTGAGCCTGATCCTTGGTGCCTGTTGGTAGGTTTTATTGGAAGCGCAGGTTTCACTGCCCGGGGGGGGGGGCACACTTCAGGATAGCGTACACAGTTTGGAAATTCAATTTCTTCCCACTTGCCATTGTAACCAAGATCCCTACTGCCATTGCCACCCCACTTACCCAAGCTATTGGATCTGGCTGCTCTTCCCAGCCCTGTGGTGTGGGCTTCACTTTTCCGAAAGGGCCTGAACTTGTAGACAAGCCAAAGATTTCTCTGATGGACAGCAGTGGGCAAAATACACATTTGCTAACCAGGTTACTGGGAAGAGAGCATTCCAGCCACCAGCATTTGCCTTTATAACAAGAAAAGCTGCAGTCCAGACAGAATGAGACCATCTTTGGCGCAAAGCTTGACTCCTGCCGGCTGTTCCCGTCTCCATTGCAACATTCCTTCTGTGACCGGGGGGGGGGGGGGGGGGGGTCATAGGCATGGCGGGTGTATAAAGTACAATGCCAGGGCACTCATACAAATATCCCATATAATTTTCCCCGGATGCATTCTTCAGAGTTATCCTAGAGGAGCGAGGTCCATTGTCAAAGGAACAAATGTAATAGTGGAATTATAAGATGCTCTTAGTAGAAGAATGAAAACCCTGGAAGGCAAACAGTGCAGCAATAGCAACCTGCCTGGGGGCTCAGAGGGTTTCCAGCTGGCCTTGCAGGAAGAGGAGAACCAGCGGCTGCTTCCCTAAGAAATCAAGGCTGGGGGGGTGGGGTGGGGGTGGCAACTTGTGACCCTGCTCTCCTCAGCTTTCACTCAGGGATAGCTCTGCAGAAAATGGATTTGATTGCCAATATACAGAACGAGGGGAGGATATGGATGAAGATTCTCAGGCATCCATTTCATTGTCTGGAGTCGAGTTGTGGCAACTGGACTTTTCTTTTTGGTTTGAAACATTTTGCTGCATATTATCCAAGTAGCTTCTTCAGGCTGAACCAGCAGCAAAATGTCTTAAACCAAAAAGAAAAAAATTCCACGTGTCACAATTCAACTACCAAACAACAAGGGCGGATTGGCCCCACTAACTGGAACCAGAATTTCCATCATTAAGCGAGGCAGTGCATTGCCAAAACACGTACCACACCACGTGGCAGCAGCAGTTTCTGTAGTCCCAGGTGTGGTTGTTAGGCCAAGACTTCTCCTCTGCCATGCTCATTTTCAGCTTCCTCTCCCCTATCTCCCCCTCCCATTTCTGCCTTTTGACCACCCTGCCCTGTGCTCTGCCCTGTTCCCCGCCACCCTAAGACCCCATCACCCTTGCCGCCTCAGTTGACCTCCTCCTTTCGCTGCTGAGACATGCTCGGCCTGACCTCGGCCTGAGGGTGGCAAGGGCAGCAGAGTGCAGGGCAACTAGAAGAGCACAAATGGGGGGGAGAACAACAGGTGGGGGGGAGTTGAAGTTCACCCTGGAATTATAAACGTGGGTGGGCTGCCCAAGCAACCATACTTTGGTCACGTGACTGCAGGGTGTTGCAGCAGCCATCACTGTTCTCATCTATTCAGTACAATCGTAACTGTGGTCACTAGACGAGGGGTTAAGTGAGGACTATCTATATTAATTTGTTCTTCTAGGCCAGGCATGTCAAACTTGTGACATCACGTGACATCGCACAACGTATCGGGACTTTTTCTCCATTGCCGGCAAGGGGGCGGGTGCAGTTTTGGCGTGATGGCAGTTTGACATGCCTGTTCTAGGCAAAGAACTCCAGTTTTATTTTCCATGCTGAGCACTCAGTGCATGGACAGGAACGGCTATTGGCAGCCCTCCAACGTACGGACAAGTGGTTCACCTCCAAGAAACTCCTAAGGGGGAGCTCGGGGCCCGGCCCTCGCCTGCCGATTCCGTGACCACAAACCACACAGCTCACGCAAGTGGGAGAAAAGTGGGCTGGCCTTGATCCTCAAAGGTCTCTGGCCAACCCTTTAATTTGCAAAAAACATGGGACAACAGACATTCTGAGTTTTTTTTTTTCTAAAAACAAACGGAGCGTTGTTATGCTGGGGATGGACTGCAACGGTGCCAGATTTAAGCTCGTTTTCTTCACCCACTCCAGAAAAACTTTTAGCTCCAGTGCTGAGGATCAGCAAGTTCCACTGAGGTTTGGCGAGGAGCAGGTGGCTTCATGGAGGGCACCAAGGAGCTAATTCCATCCAACGGCAAAATCAGTCTCGATTCTGCAGCTCAGCCACCCTCCATTCTTATGGAGACTGCCCCTGCCCCCCACAGAGCCTTTCCAGCTGCCCCAGAGTCCACGTCTCATCTAGGGCACGGCTCACCCTCGGGCGTTGCCAGGCCACGCTGGCATGGCCTCCCCAAATGTCTCTTCCAACTTTCAAGGATGGCATGAGAGCCAAAGTGCAAAGTGTTGCAGTTCTTGTTTCTATTAAAATTTTTACAAAATCAAACACACCAAAGGAAGATTCAAACTCTGTGTGAAGGGGAAGTCTCCAGAGACCACCCCAGCCCAGAAACGCTCCAGGACCTCGTTTCTCGCAAGGTCACCTTGGTTCCCAGGGATGATGCCGGCTGATGCAAGTCCCTCACCTGACGTGCCTGCCTTCCTTCCTCTCAAAAGCAGCTAGAAATTCTGTCCCCCAGGCCACCCACTACCCGTTGCTCCCTGCCCCCAACCTTCTCGTGTAGTGGCCACGTTCCCGATTAGGCGTTATTGCTCGATAAAAAGCTGGCAGGCAAGTTCCAGCGCCAGCTTTGTCCCAACATCATTGGGTGCTTTCCTGGACAGCAGAGAGGGCTGGATGCAAGACTGGGAGATCAGGGCCCACCCCTCCTGCCTGCAAGAGCCAAGCCAAGGAAGGGCACCGCTGCAGGTCAGTCAAGGCTGGATGGAGCTGGGGGGGGGGGGCTGGAGGAAGAGGAGCTGACGCTGCACTCGGGCCAGAGAGAGACACGGCTGAAGAGGGACCCGCTCTCTACTCTCTGTTCTCATCGAAGGCAGCCTTGATTACAAAGAACACGTGGGCAGCCCAGCTGCAGTCAGGCATTTTCCGGGCTGTCCCCCATCAAGCTGGGCCTTTCAGCGGCGCCTCTGTTGCAAGGTGGGGCTCCTCATTCCTGCAAAAAAAGGGGGGGGGAGAGAGGTTAACAGCTGCTGCCAGGGGTTTTTTTCTCCATCGGTCCAAATCCCCCTGGCAGCCCGATTCCCACCTTCCTGGTGCCTCTGGAAAGAATGGAAAAGGGGAGCGTCTTTCCTTGCTGCCTTGAGAAGGAATGCCACTTCCAAGGGCCTGGATGAAGCCAGCTGGCCGGACCCAGGATGGGGACGCCCGAGACCCTCCTGGGGCAGTTCTGGGGGACCGGCCTGCTCGTCCCCCCTTACCAAGAGCTTCAAGCACTTCATGGGGGAAGACCGGTTGGCTCTAAGGCTGGGCAGAGGCGGCCACCGAATCTCCCCTCAAAGCCTCTGGACATCGGGCTCCTCCGTCCAGCCGGCCCAGACCCAGCCTCCCCTCTTGAAGGAAAGGGTCCCATTGCCAAATCCCACCGCCTCAGAGCTAGCGATACTTTCTCTTCCTGCTCTTTGACCGGAGACAAAAGTGGAGAGCTGGTTTCTGTCAATAGCAGCAGCCCTAATTATTGCAGCTGCTTCTGATTGGCTGGGAGTCATTAGTCATTCTGTCGCACTCTGAGCTCTTTGCAAGTCTCTTTCTTGACAGAAGGGCACCCTACACCACCTAGTGTTGTTGGTTATCGCTCCTTGTAAACTTTTTATTAGACTTTTTCCTAGGCATAACTAACAAATTACTCCCTGTATAATTTTTGCATTAAACCTTGCTATCTATCTCTTTGTGCAGGGAAATATTCTTCCTTACAATCTGGCACAGAAGGAATCTTCAAACAGACATTAAAACAATCAGTTTCACAAGCAGACCAGATTCATATTTTAACATTTCTCCATATCATTTCCATCAACCACTTAATCATTTTTCATGGCATCGTGGATCATGAGGACAATTTTAACCAACCTTTGTCAACATTCTCACAATTTGAGACTTATTTTTCATCCACTCTTTCCTTGGATGCCAGATTCACCGCATTTATTGAACTCTGACCAGACTACGGCTGCAGAGTCCAGAGGGACACTCTCTCCCGAGTGGCTGGTTGTGGCTAATCCAAGAGATCCTTGGCCCCAAATCCGCTGCAATATTCTTCTCCAGAAACAGGAGAAAGAACAGCAAAGGCTCCTCAGTCCCAAGAACTTTCTGCATCAACCATAGTCCTAACCGCCTTGACCCACCACAATCTCGCCCCCCCCCGGTCCCGCCATGGGACCTGCAAAAGCTACACTTGTTCACCAGCTTTAGGCCCATTGAAAGCTTTAAGGCGGGACCTGCCAATCAGGCAGGGCCTCCGGAGGGCCGAAAGAGGTTTGCTCTCCTTCTCCCACGGAGGCCGATGGGCAGCTGCCATGGCAACCAGTCTGAGCCAGGAGCTCAACTAAGATGGCAGAAAGTGATGGAGCTCAACACCCTCCCTCTTACTCCTCGCTCCGCCCCACCCGTGACCCACAGAGCAGCCCCACTCAGGCACCTGTCCGGCCTCCATCCCCGGCGAGGCCCAGCCTGCAAGCAGCCAGGTGCCCGGCTTTAACCAGTATTCACTCCTGCCCTCACCTGCCGTCCCTCTTGGCCTCCAGCGTGACGGCCGCAGCAGCAGGATCTGGAGGAAGGTCAAGCGCCGGGACAGCTTCGCTCCTCAGAGGATTCGCCCGCTTGTCAACAGTCACAGAGTTGCTGCTGTTGGGTGAGAAGAACTGAAGCTGGTGAAAGGGGCCAACTATTGCCCCAAAACACCCGGCTGGAGAAGCCAACTGTGAAGCCCCCTCATGGGTGGGGGGGGGAACACCAGGGCCAGGAGGGCCTGCAAACTCCGCTCAGCCCATTGAGGGGGCTAGAAAAATCCAAGGAGGGCAACTCTCTTCCTGCTTCCTAAGGCCAACTGCCCAAGGGGAACAAGGGAGGCCGCGGGAGGGATTTCCACCTCCTGCTTTGGAGCACCCCAGAATCAGCCCTGGAACCGACCACAAGAGCTGGCGGCCAGGGCAGGAGAGCGAGGGCTTTCCCCCCGCCGGAAAGAGCCAACACGCCTGGGCCAGCAGCCCAGGAGGAGAGGTGAGGGAACACCCTCAAGTCTTGCTGGGCAGGGGTCACTCACCTCCCGCCCACCCCCACCCCACAGACTGATCCAGGAGAAAGGGGAATGGACCCCCATCTACACGGGAAGGAAGGACGGCCCATCCGGAGGCAGCCTACAAGGGCTGGGAAGCACTGAGCATGGGTGGCCCTTGCCACATGCCTCCCTGTTGAAGAGGCTCCGGGAGAGGAAGAAGAGCAGAGAGGAATGACTGACTTGACCGGGCAGGGACACAACGGAATGGAAACCGCTTGGACTTCTCCAGCCTGGGATGCATTTGTACCAGGAGGGGCTCCCAGCGAGAAAGGGCTGCACCTGACAAAGCTGATTTGCAGGGCTTCGAAGTAAATTCTGCAGGGAGGGAGGGAGGGAGGAAGAGAGCCCAGAAAGCAGTGAAGATGCCAGGAACGCAGCAGAGCAAGGAGCCCCCCCCCGGCAGATCATAAGCCTGTAAGCACCGGAAGGAAGAGGCCGCTGGAGGAGCCGGCTCTCTCACCCACTGCAGAGGTTATGGGGAGGGAGCCCCGGAGCTCCTGAAGCAGGGAGGCCTAAGGACATTCACTAGGCGTCACGGTAGACTGGGGTGGGGGGAAACTCGGGGGTCGAAGGGTTAGGGGTGGAGGGCGGGGCTTACTCGGACGAGGGGTGGTGGCCTCTGGGCGCAAGCAGCGGCCCGGCTCCTCTCCAGAGCCTTTGGGTCAGGATGCAAGGAAAGAGAAGCCGCCCAGGGGGGCTTTGGGAGATTCTGAGGTTCCAGACTGTCCAGAAAAGGGAACTCAAGGCTGGTTTTTGAAGCTTAAGGGAGAAATACAAGACACAAATCTTCCGGCCACCCAGAGCACAGGGGGGTGTGGGCGTTTACACACAGGAAGGGCCGCTTGGGCAGTCGGGAAAACCAAGAGCCGCTCGGGGAGCAGCTTCAGGGAGCTTCCAATCTAGCTGAAACAGGACATCCAGGAAACACATTTTCCAAGACATTGGATTCAAAGGTGGAAACTCACTTCACCAGGCCACAGGACAGCAGCTCAGAAAAGCGTCTACCTTTTAATAAAATTTCTTAGTCAGGAAACATGCTACCGAAGTCTTTCAGCCGCCCTAGGCTTGTTGTTGTTGTTAATTGTGAAGTCGTGTCCGACCCATCGCGACCCCATGGACAACGTTCCTCCAGGTCTTCCTGTCCTCTACCATCTTCTGGAGTCCATTTAAATTCACACCTACTGCTTCAGTGACTCCATCCAGCCATCTCATTCTCTGTCGTCCCCTTCTTCTATTGCCCTCAATCTTTCCCAGCATTAGGCTCTTCTCCAGTGAATCCTTCCTTCTCATTAGGTGGCCAAAGTACTTGAGTTTCAACTTCAGGATCTGGCCTTCTAAGGAGCAGTCGGGGTTGATCTCTTCTAGGACTGACCGGTTTGAACGCCTTGCAGTCCAAGGGACTCGCAGGAGTCTTCTCCAGCACCATAGTTCAAAGGCCTCAATTCTTTGGCGCTCAGCCTTTCTTATGGTCCAACTTTCACAGCCATACATTGCAACTGCCCTAGGCTCCGGCCTCCCAAAAGGCCAACCAGCAAGTGCCTGAGATCTACGGAACGGAAACGGTCAAAGCTAAAGTGGGAGGGACAGAAAGAAGCAGGGGGCCAGGAAAACGGCAGGCCAGGGAAGAGGGTGGGCAGCCGTGCCAAAGGAGGGGTTCTGAGGGTCCCCAGGAACCTGGAGATTGGTGAGAAAGGGGAAAAGGCAGGGCCTCTTGCAACCGGGTGGCCCTGAGCACGCCTGCTGCCTCTGCTCCATAGGTCAGGAAACAGGGCGTGTTGTGAAGTTTAAATCTGTTCTCGTTTTAAGACCTTGTTTTCACAGGTAAAATCAGCTGAGCAAACCTTGGATGAAGAGAGGTCAATTTCCTATCCTTAATATGTGGTGCACTAGCAACTGGCACAGGAGGAGACCTGAAGACCTCGCCTGTTTCAAGCAGGGGCCCAATTCTGCGCAAGGGCTGCAGCACACGGCCAGCCCAATTCGAGCAGGTCCTGTAGGCCGCAAGGTCACCAGCTGCGGCTGCTCTGTCTGCCGATTCCTAAGACCGCCGAGCACCGAAAGCCAGAACCGGGCGTTTCAGTCTAACTTCAGCTATAAAAATTAGAGCCCTCTGAATTTTGTTTGAGGATTTCAGCCATTGCAAGTTTTGGCCATTAAAGGAGAGTACAGTTGTCACAGGATGTTTGAAACCCTGCAGAGTTGCCAGCACACACACCCTCCAACGGCAGGCCTAATTATTCTGAGAGAAAGACCGGGCAGGAGGGAGGGATGGGAAGAGAGAGACAGATAAAAAAAAAAAAGATGGCAAAGCCCCCTTTCTAGCCCTTCAGACACAGGAGCCCCTCTTGGAAAGGGCTACTTCCAGGGTCTCAGGCCGACGTCTCTGAAGGAAGGCCTGCTAGGGATCGAGCTGGCCCCAGCCCAAAAGAAACGCTCCGGGTCCAGCATCCAGCATCTCTCTCTCCTCCCTGGGGGGGCCACATTTCACCTAGGCCTCCTCCAGTCACCCTGTGAGCACATCGCAACCTGCAGCTGCGCCTGCCCAAAGGGCCCCTCCTGTCGTGGGGAAGAGCGGTCAACAGACTAGCGACAGGCGGCCCTCAAGCCAGCCGGCCAGCAAGCGCCACTCCAGCTTTCCAAAGCGCTGCTCCGAGGCCTCTCCCCTCCCCTCTAGGACCTCCCCTGCAGCTGAGACAAAGACGGGGCTGCCCTGACTCCACAACTCCAGGAGGCAGGGGGGCGGCTCCGATGTCTGCCTGGGACAGCTCGGGGAAAGGGGGAAACCAGCCTCCGCCTTGGCCAGAGCCCTCTTCCCCGAGGCCCGGGCACCCCCTCAGGGGAACCAAGGCGGCCTCTCCTAACAGGGGCAGGCCAGGAATGCTCCGTCCAAGGGAAGAGCGGAGAGCGACCTTGGCCTGGCCAGGGAAGACCTCAGCAGCCTCCTCCCTGCGGGCCAAGAAGGCTCGCCCTCCCCGGCAGCCTTGCCTGTCAGAGGAGAGGAGAGGAGAGGAGCCTCGCGGGTCAGGCCAAGAAACCCAGGTGGGGAAGGCCTCCTTCGACTCCAGCCGGATGGACAAAAACCTAACAAAAATAAATAAACGGTGAGCCACCCCTCCTCCCCCATCGGGCATTCGGAGCGATAGGAGCTACAAATGAGAGGAAACCCTCTTCCTCTGCAACATCCATGCTCCTTAGCAGACCTGCATGCTTCTTGCTTTCACCCCAAACAGCTTTCTGTCCACGAAACCCCCCCCCCCCGAAGCAGCCATTTCAACTTCTCCAGCCTGGTGGACCTGGGGCGACCCCGGCCTGTCTCCAGCTGCAGCCCCAGTCACTCGCCGTGGGTGAGGTGGGCCACCAAGGGCAGAGTTTCTCCTTAGGAACCATCATTTGCAGGAGGAGAGATCCCAAAGAGGGCCACTGGTTTTCCCCTCCAGCTAAAGGGCCCTCGGGGGTCTCGAGCTCCTGGCTGGTCACCAGCCCTCTCAATGGCCTGCCTGCCACACAGCTCTTGCCCAGGGCATCAGAGCAGTGCTGGCTCAGACTTCCGATGTTTGCGTCTGCAACGTACGGCCGCGCGAGAGCAGACCTCCGCTCCGTTTCTTCCTGCCAAGGGAACCCTAAATGGGTACGAAGTCGCCCCAGAGAGGTGACCATGAAGGAGGGGCTCCCCGTCGACCACAAAGTGACGGCAATCGCTTCATTTGATCTGGGGAAAGCCCTCCAAACCCGACAGGAGAAAGCCTAGCGCAGGGGTAGGCAACCCAAAATACTCCAAGAGCCACTTGGACCCGTTTCCCACTGAAAACAAAACACCGGGAGCCGCAAAACCCTTTGGATATCTCAAATGAAGATAAGACTGCATATATCCATATATATATATGGATATATGCAGTCTTATCTTCATTTTAGATGTCAAAAGGATCTCTCTCTCTCTCTCTCTCTCCCTCCCTCTTTCTGCCCTTGGTCTGCTAGTCTTCTTCCCCCTGTGTGTGTGTGTGTGTGTGTGAGAGAGAGAGAGAGGGGGGGGGCACTTGCACTTCCCCCCTTTCTCTCTTTCCTCTCCCTCTTTCTTCTCTCCCTTTCTTTCCTCTTTCTTCTCCTTTTCTTTCCTCTTTCTTCTCCTTTTCTCTTTCCTTTCTCCCTCTTTCTATGTACTCTCTCCCCCTTTCCTCTCCCTCTCCCTTTCTTTCCTTTCTCCCTTTCTCTCCTCTTTCCTTTCCTTTCTCCCTCTTTCCCCCTTTCTATTTCTTTCCCCCCTCTCTCTCCCTCCCCTTCTTTCATCTCCCTTTCTTTTCTTTCTCCCTCTTTCCTTTCCTTTCCCTTTTTCTTCTTTCCTCTCTTTCTATTTCTTTCCTCTCCTCCTCTCTTTCTTTCATCTCCCTTTCTCTTTCTCCCTTTCTTTCCTTTCCTCTCTCCCCTCTTTCTTTCCTCTCCCTTTTTTCTTTCTTCTTTTCCTTTCTCCCTTTCTTTCCTGTCTCCCTCTTTCTATTTCTTTCCTCTCCTCCTCTCTTTCTTTCATCTCCCTTTCTTTTCTCTTTCTCCCTTCCTTTCCTCTTTCCTCTCT